CACCAGCTCTGACTGGTTACAGTGACAGTAGCCATTCTGGAGAGGGAGGGGGCAAAGCTGAGGGTCCCGGGGCAGGAGGGGGTGGTGGGGAGGTGGGAGGGAGTGGGGCAGCTTGGGTGGAGCATCCAAAGTGGAGCCGAAGGGCCGATGGCTGGTTTCGGAGAGCCTGGAGGGAAGGATTGGGGAGGGGGTGGCACTGCACCCACTCTGAGTGGCACTGCCACCCTCACCTGCCCCAGGTAGGTGCCGTAGGACTCGGTGCTGGCGATGCCACCGTGTTTCTTGATCCACTCGTAGGCTCTCCACTCCTCTCCCCCGTCACAGGCGTAGTTCCCGAAGCCCCAGGAGCAGTCGATGAGGACTTGTTGGGACAGGGGGGTCAGCACTCCGGTCTGTGGGGGGCACACACTGCAGGGATGGGGACAGGCACCCTCCTGGCACCCCGTCCACCCCGGTGGGGCACAGCCCCGCTCCCACCTTGAGGAACAGGGCTCCCTCCATGGCACCCGTGGTGGCGAAGCTCCAGCAGGACCCGCAGACGGCCTGGTCCTTCACGGGGGTGACGGCGCCTGGGGACAGCGGGAGGGACATTTGTGACCAACTGTGCTGCTGGGTGTCCCCACACGGACCCCACGTGCACAGCTCTGGTGTCACCAGCCCCCTCCTCACCGTAGAGCCGCCAGTCGAGGCTCTCGGGCAGGATGAGGCCGGTGTAGAGGTGGGCAGGGAAGGGCTGCCCGTTGTTGGGGTCCCCGCTGCGCCGGCGGCCCCGCAGGGCTGCCAGTTCGTGGGGCGTGCGGTCGGCCAGGTGATTGAGGGCCAGCGTGTAGGAGAGCGCGGCGCGGTTCCGGGAGTGCACGAACCTGGGGCACGGCAGGGGCGGGGGGCTGAGAGAGGGGAGAGGGGAACCCCCTCCCTGACTCCCCCTTCCCAGCACATCCCCTGGCATCCTGTTCCTCATGTCTGCCAAGAGGTGAGTGGAGATCCCATTCCTGACCCCCCCAGCCTGTCCCCTGACATCCCGTACCACATATCTGTGAGAGGGGAGTGGGGTACCCCACTCTGACCCCCCGGCCCCCCTGCCCTCCCGTACCTCATGTTGTGGATGAAGGTGTGCCTGCGGTGCTCGTGCTCCTCCTCGCTGCCGTAGCTCTTCCCAAACCGCTCCTTGTAGCGGTGGAAGAGGCGGTGGTGGACGTGGTCCATGTCCGGCCCCCTCCCCACAAACTCCTGCATGGGGTTGGCCACGAGGAGGTGCTCGGGGCTGCCCGTGGGCCACTGCTCACACTGCACCCCTGCCACGAGACACAGGCGGTGCTGGTGCCTTCCTGAGCTGGGATGGGCTCTCCTGGACCATGGTTTGGGTTGGAAGGGATCTTAAAGCCCATCTCGTTCCACCCCCCACCATGGGCAGGGACACTTTCCACCAGCCCAGGTTGCTCCAAGTGTTGTCCAACCTGGCTTTGGACACCTCCAAAGGGGTGTTTCGGTGTCAGCACAGGCCCTGGGTGCCCAGGCACACTCACCCTCGGGGAGCTGGAAGACGCCGGGCGGGAAGCGGTGGCTGAAGGAGGAATAGTTGATCTCGTACTTGTCGTAGTGGGAGCCCAGGAGGCTGTTGAAGCCCCTCACCTCGTAGTGCAGGGGCACAGGGCCGTGGGCAGAGCTGCCCACCCGCAGCGTGTACACGTTCTTCTTGTGCCCCCAGTAGGAGACGTTCTGCCACACGGCGCAGCGCTGCCCTCGGAACCGCTCCTGGCGCACGTGCTGGGGACACACGGCACGGACCGGGCTGGGGCACCCCACAGCGATGCCACCCCTACCCTGCATCCTGCCACGTTGAATGCAACCCCCCCCCAATCCGTCACCTGTGGCTGCACCCAGCCGTGTATCCACCAAAATTCCCACCTCATGGGGAGGCACCCACCAGACACCACTTACCCGTGCAGCGCCCTCGTCCCTTTGCCTGCCCCATCCCACATCCTGGAGGGCCATTCCCGGGCTCACCCTGAAGTTCTCCAGGCTGGGGAAGACGCTCTGGGGGGCAATGAGGGCCCCCATGGTGCCGTCGATGCGGAAGCACTTGCGGACGTTGAGCTCCGTCTCCGTGGTCTCCGGGGTCACCTTGAAGCTGGCGCCGAAGGGCTCCATGGAGCCCAACTGGTAGGTGACCACTTGGCCTGGGGACAGGGAACGTCAGGCCTGGCACGGTGATGCCTCTGAGGGCTTTCCTGGTGTTTTCCCCAAAGGTGCTGGGGCAGAGGGAAAGGGATGCTGAGGGGTCGGGGGGCCGGACCCCCTTCTGCACCCACCACCGTAGTACTCGATGCGGCTCTTCCCCCCTGTGAGGTTGTACCAGGCTTCAAAAGGCTCCCTGATCTCTGCATAGGGCAGGCTGATGACTCCTGTGGGCACAGAGAGGCTGGACTCAGGGGGCTGTGGGGGGGCTGAGTCCCAGAGGCATCTCCTGTCCCCCTTCCCTGACCCTCTGGAGCACCCTGGGGTCCCACAGTATCACCCCCTGGTCACCCCCAGCAGCTCCCCATGGCACCGAGTACTCCAGCTCTGGGATTCCTGGGGGAATTGGAGCCTGCTTGCTCAGGCATGTCAGGTGGGAGCTGGTGGCTGGAGGTGCAGGAACCCCCTGGGCTGGGCACCCTGTCCCTGAGCAGTACCTGTGACGTGGTAGATGTCCCCAAATGTGGGTGTCTCCAGAGGACCTCTGCACTCTACTCCTACAAGAAAAACAGAAACAAACCCCTGATTTCCCATCTCCCCACCTCAAGGGCTGGCAGCAGTGCTGGTCCTTGGCTTGCTGTCCCCCAGGAGACAGATCCAGGGGAGCCCACGCTGGTGGCAAGGCAGGGCAGACACTGGGGGTCCCCAAGCCGGGGGTCCCTGCTCCTCCACCAGCCCTCTGACTGACCCAGAGTCCCCACAACAATCTCCCTGGGGGTGTGACCAGCTCGGGGGCACCCCAAAGCCCCCCCAGCACACCCCAAATACACAGCCCCCTATGGAACACTGCCCACTGCCCCCCACAGCTCCAGGAGTGGGGATGGGGACAGAGCAGCCCCTTCCCAGACCCTCAGTGGCCCAGGACCACCACAGTGCCCAGGGCAAGGGGCACGATGGCATCACCCTGTGACGGGGGCACAGCACCCACCCCTCCCCACCCCGAGCCCAGCCAGGGTGGGGGCTCACCCAGCAGCACAGCAGCCCCCAGCAGCACCAGCAGCCCCCCCAGCCCTTCCATCCTGGCCACGCTGCTGCCCTGCACCCACGGGTGCTTAAATACCACCGGTGGGTGGGCAGGGAGCTGCGGGCAGCCGATGGGCACAGCCCCCCCTTCCCCAGGAGGGAATGAGACCAAGGGGAAGGCGGGGCTTTGTCTTGCCCCCCTGTCCCACAGCAGGGTGGGTGCTGATACCGTGTGCCTGGTGGGCTTGGGGAGGGGGGATGAAGGTGGGACCCAGAGCCCTGTGGGTGCCCCACGGACTGGGGGCTCGGGGATGGTGCTGGGGGTGTCCCTGTGCCCCCCACCCACCCCCTGTGGGGCAGTTTGCCAGCCAGGCTTCGCTGCAAGAAGGGGGAGCATCTGCAGCAACCAGGGGGCAACGGGGTGCAGTGACACCCACCCAGGCACCCCAGAGCCCCTCTGGGGTGGGACAGGAGCCAGGGTGTCCCCACCGAAGGGGAGACAGGAAGATGGGGAGGTGGGGGCCGTTTGTACCCTGTGCATCCTTACGGATGCACCACCGGGGATACACCAGGACTGCAATTAGAGGGGGATTCGCTGGGAAAAGGGGGGGGGGGGGGAAATGCAGATGAAACGTCGGGAGCAACATGGAAAAACAGCCCCGGGGAGGCGCGCGGCGCTGTCACCGCGGCGGGGTGGCCTTCACCCCTCCCACTTGCCGCGTGTCCAGCTGGCCCCCGGCCCAAGGTGACAACGAGCCCCAAACAAAGCTGATAAGGGCTCGCTGTGGGATTGGTGGGATCTTGCTGGGCTGGATTCGGCTGCACCCCGGGGTGCAGGGCTGGGCTGGTTCCCCCCCCCCGGGGCTGCAGCACCTCCCCAGGGACCCGCGGAGGTTGTGAGTGCTGAAGGCAGAACAAGAGATGAAGCGCCTGAGGACTGACCCTCCTCACGACTGGCTGGGATGATGCATCCCGATCATTCCTGGACAGTGATGAACAGCTTTTGGAGTTGTGATACCAAGACTGACTCAAGCAGGTCTTCCAAAATGTTATCCAAGTGCAAGTTATTGTTTGGTTTGGTTTGGTTTTTTTTTTTTACCATGTTTTTGGTTTTGTTTTTTAATTATCTGGTGTTTCTCCAGGAGGGATATTTGGGTTATACTGGAGAATATTCAGGATATTTAGGAATATTCAGCAGATACTCAGGTTATACTGGAGAAAAGCCTAGGAAATTTAGTGATCTGGCCTGAAAAATCTGGGAAAAACCTGAAATCCATGAAAAGCCTGAAAAACCATCACAGCCCACCACTGCAGACGTGCATCCTGCCCCGAGGATGTGCCAGTAAAAGTGGGAGACCAGGAGGGTGAGGGTAGGGAGAAAATTCCCACCCTGTTTTAATATCTGAATTTAGCACTGATCCTGCTCTGCAGGATGGCTTGATCCCAAACTAGGAGCTCCCAGCAGAGCCATGGCAGGAGCAGCCCCAGGGGGGTGAAGGGTGACATTGGCAAACATCCTGGTGACATCCCCACCCGCAGCCACAACAGGCACCGGGGCAGTGGGGCAGAGGGTGGATGCCTTTCCCCCCCTCCCCAACACCCCACGCCAGGAATTTCTCGTCTCAGCAGAAATCCCTGGGGTTGTTTGTGCTCCACCTCAGAGACAGAGCTGGAAAAGCCGCTCCCCTCGCCCCGGGTGTCTGGGCCGGGCTGTGAGAGCCAGCTGGCTCTGCCAGGCAGGATGGTCCCCTCCCTGGGGGGGTCTCTGGGGTCCCACAGCACCAACAAAAACCAGCCTGGGGACAGGATGTGTCGCTGGGGTCTGCACACAGGGGGCACAGCTGGCTGGGCAGCAGTTGAATCCCTCCTGCAGAAGCACTCCAGTATTTTTCCAGTGTCTTTATTGGCAAGCCCACTGCCAGGTCCCCATCCTGCCCCGTGTCCAGCACCCCGGGGCCCTGTCCTGCTTCCTGCTGCGTGGGGGCTCCACCGAAGGGGCTGATCCAGGGCTGGGTGCCCAGAGTGTCACCGAGGGCTGTCCCTGCAGAGCCGGGGTGGCTCAGGCCAGGATGGGGTAAGTGGCCTCGGTGGCCACGCCGCAGTTGTTGTCCTTCATGGCCATGAGGATGTAACCATCATTGCCCCAGTAGGTGGACCAGGAGTTCTTGATGAGCCAGTAGGTCTCTCCCTGCAGGACCCCGTAGCCCACGGCCAGCACCGCGTGGTCCAGCGATCCCGGTGTGTTATCTGCAGGGAATGACGTGGGAGAGGGATCATTTGGAGAGCATTCCTGCTCAGAGAGCATTCCTGTCTGGGGAGCACCCTTGACCTGAGAGCACCCCTGATCTAAGAGCATCCCTGTCCGGACGCCATTCCTGCCTGGTGACCATCCCTGCCGGGAGAGGATCCCTGCCCAGGCAACATCCCAATCTGGAGAGCACCGTGCCCCACGTGCCCCCTGACTCACCGCACTTGGGCTCGTAGTAGATGCCGTTGGAGTAGAAGGAGAAGCTCTTGTGGGAGGCGTCGATGCTCACGGCCACGGGGCCGTGCTTGTAGATGGCGGCTTTGACGGCCGTGATGTTGCCCGAGGTGACGTTGACGTAGCCCGTGATCTTGGCCAGCATCTCCGACTGGTTGTAGTGGCACAGGCCATTCTACACGCCCAGGGGGACACACAGGCTGTCAGCAGGACGCCCTTGTACCCCTCAACCCCCTGCCCACCCTGCCTGCTCCCCGTGGAGCTCTTCCCAGTGATCTGGGGTTTGGGCTGTGGCAGTGTTCCTGCTGTCCTCCCACGCCTGGGGTGGTGGGGGTGTTTCCCCAGCTCTGCACCCCAAAAGGCCCAGGGGGGGTGGGGGGGGCTGTTGCCTGTGTCTTGCAGCCACGTCCCTGTCCCCAGGCAGCTTTGCTCCATCCCTGCTCCCCAGGGTGCAGAGTGACCCATGGCACCACCCATGGGTGGAGGAACCCTGTCCCTCTTTTGCAAGAAGAGAAACTGAGGCACATGGTGATGAAACTGCCCAGCTGAGCCCTGGGGCTCAGCTTTGGACTGTGCTTTGAACCTCAGGAGCCTGCTGCCTTGGGCACGAGGTGACATCCACACCTCCAGAGCCTGCTAATCCCTTTGACCCATCGAGGTGGGTCCCACGGTGGCTTTAAAGCCCCAAGACATTGGGTGCTCTGTCAGGGACATGGAGCCAGCCCTACCTGCCCCTTGTAGGTGCCGTAGGACTCGGTGCTGGCGATGCCACCGTGTTTCTTGATCCACTCATAGGCTCTCCACTCCTCTCCCCCGTCACAGGCGTAGTTCCCGAAGCCCCAGGAGCAGTCGATGAGGACTTGTTGGGACAGGGGGGTCAGCACGCCGGTCTGTGGGGGGCACACACTGCAGGGATGGGGACAGGCACCCTCCTGGCACCCCATCCACCCCGGTGGGGCACAGCCCCGCTCCCACCTTGAGGAACAGGGCACCTTCCATGGCACCCGTGGTGGCGAAGCTCCAGCAGGACCCACAGACAGCCTGGTCCTTCACGGGGGTGACGGCGCCTGGGGACAGCGGGGTAGGGGTGAGAAACTGGGTCAGCACTGAGGGATGGGGTCAGGTGGGAGGGAAACTGAGGCAGGAGGTGAGTTCCAGAGGCAGCACAGCCAGGGCTTGGTGTTAATCAGGAAAGGTGGGGAATGCACCAGCGAGGCTGGGATTGCCGCCCTTGGACCAGGGCAAGGTCTGGGGGTGTCACTCCCAGCTGATGGGGAACAGGGGAAGCCAGATGTGGCTTCAGATGTCATATCTGTCCCTGGAGCATCAGACTGAGCTGCCTTTAATCACAGAATCCCAGAATGGATTGGGCCGGAAAGGACCTTAAAGCTCATCCTGTTTTACCCCCTGCCACAGGCAGGGTCACCTTCCACTAGACCAGGTTGCTCCAAGCCCCGTCCAACCTGGCCTTGGACACTTCCAGGGATGAGGCATCTCTGTGCAGCCCATCTCAGCGCCCCAGCACCCTCACAGAGCCAGGCTTAAACCAGGCTTTGATCCAGCTGCCCAGCAGAGCAGGGACTGCAGGCAGATGTGAACCCCCAGGGGCAGCAAAGCCCCACAGGCTCCTCAGTGCAGTGACAGCAGGGGCATCTCAGCTGGACCGGGCTGGGTCCCCCCGACCTCACACACCTACCGTACATGCGCCAGTCGAGGCTCTCGGGCAGGATGAGGCCGGTGTAGAGGTGGGCAGGGAAGGGCTGCCCGTTGTTGGGGTCCCCGCTGCGCCGGCGGCCCCGCAGGGCTGCCAGTTCGTGGGGCGTGCGGTCGGCCAGGTGGTTGAGGGCCAGCGTGTAGGAGAGCGCGGCGCGGTTCCGGGAGTGCACGAACCTGGGGCACAGCGGGGACAGCACCAGCTGGCACTGCCACCTCCTCCTTGGGGCGAGGAGACACCCCCAGAGAGCCACCACCACCCCCCTCCCGCCTGCCTGTACCTCATGTTGTGCACGAAGGCGCTCTGCCGGTGCTCCAGCTCCCGCACCGAGCCGTACCGCCGCCCCATCCGCCGCCGGTACTCGTGGAAAGCCTGGTGTGCCCAGGGCTGGTGCTGCCCCACCAGGTCCTCCATGGGGTTTGCCAGTACCCGGTGCTCCGCCACGCTGCCGGGCAGCACCCCGCACTTGCTCGCTGGGGATGGGGAGGGGACACCATCAGCCCGAGCCCCATGGGCAGAGTAGGGCAGGGCAGGGCAGGGCAGGGCAGGGCAGGAGGGACCATCTCTGGCTCACCATTGACGGGCAGGTCGAACACGGAGGGGGGGTAGCTGTTGTCGAAGTCGGTGTAGTCGATCTCGTACTTGTCGTAGTGGGAGCCCAGCAGGCTGTTGTAGCCCCGCATCTCGTAGTGCACGGGGGCCACCCCGCAGCTGGAGTTGGTGACCCACAGGGTGTAGACGTTCTTCTTCTGCGCCCAGCGGGTGCTGTTCTGCCACACGGCGCAGTACCGGCCCTGGTAGTACTCCTCCCGCAGGAACTGGGGGGGGGGAATGGCATCAAGGAGGGTTCCCCAACCCCCCTGAGGGGCTCCCTCCCTCCCCACCCAGCCCCTTTGCACAGCCAAGCGCTCCCAGCACACACACGGGCTGGATCCAGAGGCTCCATGGCCATAAGCACATGCTTGGGATGGAAACTGGGGCAAGGATTTGGGGTGCCACACAGGGCACACCCCCCTGACTGGCCCAGCGGTGCCCTGGGGACACCCCACCATGCACAACACTCTGTGTGCACCCACAGAGGGAGGTCTGGCTTCCAAAGGCTAAGGAGCTTCCAGGTTTTTCCTGCGTGTTCCCGAGCTCTCTCCCTGCGGGCAGGGCCCAGTTGGGTGACAGCCTGCTGTCCCCACCGCTCACGTGCTGTGCCCAGCCCTGCCAGGGTCTGGGGCTGGCAGGAGCTGAGCCCAAACTTGCCCAGACTTGCCCAAACCGTGCCCAAACGCCGGCGTTTGTGTGGGATGTGGCACGTCCCGACACGGCTGCTGGAGTTGGGAAAGGAGCCGGCGGTCCGGCCCCGATCCAGGTGGGGAATTGACCCTCCCTGCGCCCTGGGGTGTGTGTGGTGGGGTGGGACATGTCCCGGCCTGTCCCAGCACCCTGCACCCCTCGGACTCCCAAGCACCCCTTCCCACAGCCTGCGTGGGTCAGATCCCTGGCATTTCCCACCTTAAAGCCTTTCATGTTGGGGAAGACGCTCTGAGCCTTCACCACGTCCTCCTCGGAGCCGGGCAGCTGGAAGCATTTCCTGGCGTTCACCTCCTTCTCGGTGGTCTCCGGCGTGATCTTGTACCTCATCCCGTAGGGTTTCACCGCCGCCAGCTGGTAGGTTATCACCTGCCCTGTGCCCGTGGGGACGGGAAGATGAGGCAGGGTGGTCCTGCCAGCGCAGGGTGGGCACGGCTGGAGCGGGTGGGTGCCCAACTCTTACCTCCATAATACTGGATGCGGCTCTTGTTCCCCGTCAGGTTGTACCAGGCCTCGAAGGGCTCCTCGATCTCGGCGTAGGGCAGCTTGATGAGCCCTGTGAGCACCCCCCCCAGGGCGGGTCAGCCCCAAAAGCCTCAGCACCCCAATGTCCCTCCCTGGGCCCTCCAGACACCCACAGCCCACCAAGCCGCTGTCCCCACGGGTGACAGGACAGGGAGAGGCACTTGGCTGTGGGAAGCCCAGCAAAGGGGGTTGAGGGGTCCCTTTACCTCGGACGTGGTAGATGGAGCCGAACTGAGGGGGTGGGCGGGAAAGCACATAGTCCTGTCCTGAAAGGCAGAGAGGGGCAGGGGTGAGGGGGGCTGTGTGTGTCTCAACAAGCTGAGTTGGGGACAGGAGATGTCCTGAGCCAGTGTTCTCCTTCCCTGCAACCTGCCCCCCCCCTGCTTGGCCAAAAGAACTCCCTGAGCCCACCAGTGGCACATCCAAGGCACTGACACCTTCTCGGGGCCAGATCCAGGGTCACCACCATGCCAAAACCTGCTGTGACACTGGAGCAAGCCCTGTGCTGTTGCACCCCCAGGGAACCCCCATTCCTGGGATGACTGCTGGGGTGATGCCCCGGTGTCACCCCAGCACAGCTGGCCACGGTGTTGGGTGATGTTTCCGAGGGGGGACACGGCCAAGTTGTCTCCAACACACAGGGCACGGTTGAAGGGTACCAGGGAGCTGACTGGTCCCACCTGCCATCTCCCAGTGACCTCCCCACACTACCTGAGGGCTCCCAGCTTGTGCAACCCCAAGCCACGCCAACACACCCGCCACTGGGAACGGGCCCTTCCCTCCGTCAGCATCTTCCTCCAGCCGGGAGCAACCGGCAGCACCTGCCCCAGCACCAACCCTGAACCCCAAACCTGGGGGAAGGCAGGGCCAGACAGCCCCCCAATGCACCCCAGACTGTCCCAAGGGGCCCATCACACCCTGTGCCCAGGCACCCACAGAGAGTGCCCAGGGTGGGGGGAGCAGAGAGTCCAGCAACCCCACTACCCTATTTACAGCCACCCAGAAAGGGGGTCCCACAGGGCCACAGTCCCCCTGACCCTCCTGTTCCCTCCTGTCCCCTCCCCTCTGCCTGTTTGGGTTAAACACTTTGGGTTAAAGCCAACTGTTTACCCCCCTCACCCTCACCAAGCCCTCAAGGCACGTCCCCCCCTCTTTGCCACCCCACCCCAACTCTGTTTCGGAGGAACCGCAAACTTTGGGACCAAGTGAGCAATAAAACCACTTCCCTAATCTCCAGCCTGCCCTGCAGTGCAGCAGGGGGGGCGAGACCCCTTGGGGTGCCCCCATCTCCCTCCCACCCCCGGGGTGTCCCCAGCCGGGACAGTGCCATGGGATGGGGTAGGGGGCAAAGGGGGGTTCAGGCTCACCCCAGATGAAGATGCAGAGCGCAGAAGCCACGAGCCAGCGGAGAAAACCCATCCTCACCTCCCCGGCTTGCTCGGCGCCGGCTTTTCGGCTTTAACCTGGAGCCGGCGGCAGCGAAACCCGCCCGAGCCAATGCAGAAGTGCGGGCCCTCCCCGGGGGAGGGAAGGAACCGGCATCATGTGGTGCCTGGCGGGGGGGACGGGCACCCTCGGGGTGCTCGGCGGGGAGAACGTGTCCCGGCAGGGCAGATGGAGCAACGCCGGGCGCTACAGGGGATGGGAGGTGTGGGAGGGGCCCCCAAAAACACCTCCAGCAGCGCGTGGGGCGGGGGGGTGCAGGCTGGGTGGGGACCCTCCGACTTGGGGTCAAGCAGGCTTCCTTCCAGGTTTGGTGTTAACTCGATGGTTAAAGCACTGGCTGCTTTATTTTATAGATTAATACATTCAGACAGGTTGAAATCAGCCTCGAGATCCCAAATACCCTGCACAGAGAGTAAAGAGTGGGTCAGTCACAGGCCCTTCCGTCCTGCAAACAGCAAGGGCTCCTGGTAACTGTGATAAAACCAAGATCTCCAAGCAGAAAAATCAGTTTAAGACAGAAACATCTTCTTCTTATAAACTTTTTTTTTTTTTAATGTGCTGCCTTATCCCACCTAATGCAGAGTATCTGAATTAGTAAAACTGGGTTTGCATCAAAACGAGCTTCCTTACCCTTAAGGGTGGGTCGTCACGGCTGGTCCCTTCTTCTGCATCTGGGTGGGAGACACGGACAGCAAAGTGGGGGGCTCAGGGCTGCCAGGGGGACACCTCCTTGGGGTCTTTGCCAAGCAGCCCCCATGCCAGGGTGATGAGCAGTCCCTGTCCCTGCTGGCCCCTGTCCCCTCCCAGGGACACTGACAGGGCTGAATCCCCCCCCAACAAGTCCCAGAGCCCCCAAAGCTAAGCTGTGCTCCCAGGATGAGTCGGGAGGTGACAAGGCAAAGGTGACATCAGTTTGGGGGGGCAGGTCCCCATCGTGGTGGGGACACATACCTCCACCAGCCTCAGCCCCCCTGTGAGAACAGGAAACATCAGGGCCTGATTTACTGTCACAGAGGAAAGAGGTCACCCTGTGAGGGTTAACCACAGGACAAGGAGGAGAAGGAGGAGGAAGGCTCTGGAGAGATGGGGAAGGACCCCTCTCCATCCCACCTGTGTAAAGGAACAGGGTGGCAGAGTCAGAATGCAGCAGCTCTGGGCTGGAGCATGACCAGAGCCCCCATCTCACCCTCACTCCCCCTTGGGAGCACTGCCCAGCACAGGAAACTGCATTGGGGGACACCCAAAAATATCCCTGTCCCCTGTGGTGGGGGAAGGGAGGGCTGGGGGATGTGCAGGCTGGGGCTCAGTGGAGCTGGGGGGGTATTTCCATGCAGGGAGGTTCTGATTTGGAGGGGGGGCTTCCCTGCACCCCTGGTTTGCACAGGGTGTTCCCCTAGTGAGGGACCCCACTGAGAACCCCTCAATCTGGGGGTCAGGGTGCCCCAGGGAGCCTGAAGTGCTCTCTTGCAGGTGGTTCCCACAGTGATCTGGGCTGGGAGCCCGAGGGTTGGGTCTCAGACAGGGTGCTGGGGGGCTCAGACACTGTGCTGGGGGTCTCCTCCCCTCTCCCAGAGCTCACTGAGGTTTGTGGCTTGGTGTGACAGCTGCCAAATCTTGGGGTCTTCCCACCAGCAACTTTATCTGGAGAAAGGGTAAGTCAGGGGGCTGTCGATGGCCACAGCACTGGCTTGAGCCAGCTGGGAGCTGGGGGGACATGTAGGATCCCCCTGGCACACAGTGCTGGGGCAGGGTGGGCACTGTGAGCCCTGGGAGATGCTGTGCCAGGTGGGTGTGTGGCTGCTGTGTGTGCTCTGCCACCAGACGGGCACCTCGTGCCTGTTCCTCGCAGGGCCACAGCCCCCTGCGTGCAGTTTGTGCCCCTTGCCAGGCTCTCTGGGGAGGGGTGCAGGCAGCCCCCCCACCCTGGCACAGGCTGGATCCCCACATAAATCCCATCGGGCAGAGCCTGGGCATCCCTGCCAGCGTCCCCCCTTGTGCTGTGTCCTGCTGTCCCACCCTCCACGCAGCGAGTGTGCCGGAGGGTGATCCAGGGGGCGATCCAGGTGATCCGGAGGGCGATCCCGCCGGTGATCCAGCAGCAGCCCCGGCCGGGCTGGCTGGTACAATGAACCATCGCCGGGAGCGCGGGGAGGAAGGGGGGGCGAGGGGAGGGGAAGCTCTTGCTCGGCTGCCAGAGCCGCCGAAGAGACACGGGAAGCACACGGCCGGGCTCTCTCCCGCTCTCCCACGGCCCCCGCCTCGACACCCCGGCCCCCGACGCCGGGAGAAGCGGGTGCTGCCGTGGCACCCCGGCCGGGGGTCCCGTCGGGAGCGGCTCGGGAGCGGCGGGTCCATGCCAGGCGGAGCAGGAGCGCTGACGGTAGGAGGGATGCGCGAGGTGCGCGGTGCAGGGCGGTGGGGGGCTCACCCCTGGAAAGTGTGTGTGGGGGGTTCTTAATCCCCTTGCTGTGTGTTTGGGAGGGGGACGGTGTTAAGGGATGATCCCCCAGGTGTGGGATGGATCTGGGTCCGGGGTGGGATGGGTGCTGAGCTGTGGGGATGGAGGGCCCTGTGACCCCGGTGCGGGGCTTTTGGGGGTCCTGCCTGGGCTCTGCCCTCACTGCTCCCCCGGGCAATGCCTAGGTAGGGGAAGAGACTCCCATCCTGGCCGTGCTGGGGGGCAGAGGGTCAGCGGGGGCTGTGGCGTGGGGAGTGCTGGGGGCACCCACCGGCTCCAGCTCGCTGTCCCGGCACTGATGGCTGTGACACCGCGTCGGGGAGCCTGAGGGGGCACGCAGTGCCTTCACCCGCGCCGGACCCCCGAGCTGGGGAGGGGGCAGGTCTCGGCACTCCGGGACACCGCGATGGCGGGACACACCTGTGCCCTCAGCCCCGCGGGTGTCCGTGGGCTGCCAGCCCAGCCAGCGCTCCGGGGGGCTGAGCAATCCCTGGCTGGGGCTGGGGGAACAGTGAGGGGCTCAGGCTCTGACCGGAGCGAGTGCTCCCCCCGCTCCCTGCAGCTCTGCCTCGTCCCAGGTCCTTGGTGTGTCCCAAGGAGGGACAGGAACTCGCCGCTTCCTGCCCTGCACAATTCCCTCCCCACCCCGCTCCTCCCGGGACATTGTATTTGGAGCCCTGGCCGGCTCCCTCCCTCCGCCCCTGCAGCCCCTTGGATCCGGGAATTGCTCTTCTTCCAGCGGAAATCCTGCTTTCCCAGCCAGCGATGGGGCTGGGAGGCTGGGGAAGGGGGGTTGTCTCCCTCCTGGGCATCTCCTCCTTGGCGGGGGGCAAGGGGACCCCCTGCCCTTGGCCTGGTTGCTGGTGGATGGGCTTGTGCTGCAGATCACTCCTGGGGACCAGCCAGTCCTGCCTCTTTTACCCCAGGGAATGGCCCTGCCACCTCCTGGGGCTGGCACAGGGACGGTGCTGGCCAAGCACTGGTCAGGCCTGGCCAGCACAGCAGGTTTTGAGGGGACAGCTTCCAGCCCTGTCCTGCTCGTGGGCATGCAGGGGGTGGGGTGTCATCGCTCCTTGCACCCCTTGTTCTCGAGAAAGTTGCTCCCACTGGGAGCCACGGGGGACTCACCAGGCCCTGGGTGAACTGGGAGGGCTGGATCTGGGAATGGGGGCAGTGGGGAAGGGGGAGGGACACGCCACCATCTGCCACTATGCCAGGACAAGGAGCAGGCAGTCGAGGCAGATGTATCCTCTCATCCCCTCCCCAGGTCTGTGGGGTTCTGGACAGAGGTTGGGGACGTGTCTCAGACTCCTGTGTCCTAAAAAGAGGCACCTTCCCCTTCTGTGCTGCACCTGCCTCATGCCTCAGTTTCCCCCTTGGGACCAGGGAGCTCCAGAGCCTTGGGGTGACAGAGGAACCCCAGCTGGGCTCTGCAGCCCTCTCGGTTCCTCTTCCCTGGGAGCAGGTTGTGAGAGCCCCCGGAGCGCAGGGGGTGTGCAGGGTGAGGGGGCAGGTCAGGGTATAGGGGGGCACGGGGTACCCAAAGGGCTGCAGCCCTGCTGTGGTCCCTGCCTGGGCCCCCCAGCTGCCACCGTCCCCCAAGGCCTGTGGTCCCCTCAGCCCTGAGGTTCCCCTTGGCTGCCCCTCCTCCCCCATGCCGGGCTCCTGCTGCTTCCTCTTCCCGCTCTGTAGGTGCCGTGTGGGTTCCTCTGGCGGCTGCTCCCGTGCCCAGGGGAGGGGGGTCATGGCACCCCCAGCCTGCCAAATGCCACCATGGCCTGTCCCCAAGCACGGGGCGTGTGACATTCCCCTCTCCAGGCAGCTGCATCCCCTCACAGCCTGACCCCTCCGTCATGAGGGGAGTGGAGGCAGGGGATGGAGGTGACATCATGGGTCACAGGGGCGACACTGGCACCTGCAGGGGACATTGTGCCCTGTCCAGGAGCTGGGGATGGGGCTGAGCTGCCCCGTGTCCCGTGGGGCTGGGGAGCAGATGGATGGGCAGCCAGGGACGCGGCTGCTCCGTGCCCAGCCGTGCCCCGCAGGACGGGGGGTGATGAGTTGGCCGGGTCTCAGCGCGGGGCGGGAACTGGGACCGGTGCCGGTGGAGCTGGGGAGGGAAGGGCTCAGTTGCCATCTGCTCCCGGGCTCTGAGCAGCTCCTTTTTGGGAGAGCCGGAGCCAGGAGCCAGCGCAGAGCCACCGGACACAGCGCCAGCTGCATCCCCTCCCCACGACCAGCGCAGGGGGGACAGCTCTGACCCACCCTGGGGCAGGCTCAGGGAGCTGTAGGATCCCACAGAAGGAGAAGAGTGGGTGCCACGCTGCTGCACAGCACCTGAACCCTCGGTGCTGAGATACTGGGGGCTTGTGCTCGCCTGGAAGATGCTCCTTGCCAGCCCCATCCCCGCTTGGCAGCTCTGGCAGCTCCGCCGCCCGCTCAGCACCGAAATTCGATGAAATAGGAAGTTTCTGAGCGTGGTGGGTGGGTGATTCCCACACAGAAGGGAAAGGGTTTGTGAGAACCAGGGGTGTTCATCAGCTGAAACTGCCACTAATTGTGAGCAAGAGTGAAATCCTCATCAGCTGAGCCCTCTGGGATTTGGCAACGCTGCCCCGCCGGCAACGGCCGCGGCCTTGCCACACCAACCGTGTTGAAAGGGGAGGTGGAAGGGGAGAGCTGTGGCTCTTTCCACCCCCACTGAGAGAGAGGAAAGGGAGTCAATGGCCACGGTGAGGGAAACCCGCCTGAAACATCTCATCCACCTCAAAACCTCCATCTCCTCCTGCTCTCTGGAGCGCAGGGGACAGGGCACCTTCCTGCTCCTCCTCTCTGCTCACAGCTGGAGCTCTGCCGGATTGCAGAGTGGAAAGCTCTGCCCAGTGCAAACTGGGCAGACTGGTGTGGCTGCTCAGCACCCAGGGGAGTGACAGAGATGTGGACAGACTGTGTCCTTGCAGCCGTGGCAGGAGAGGTCCACTTTCCTCCTCCTCTGCGACACCTTCGTGGCCAGAAGAGCACGACCCGACCACAGGGACCTTCCTCTCCAAAGCACCCCCTCTGTGCTGAGCAGAGACACTTCAGGGGCTCCTCCCCACCCACCCTGGCTCCCTCCAGCCTCGGGGCAGCCAGGCATATGGCTACTCTTGAAGGGGGGTGAGCGGTGCGACGAGGACACAGTGAGAGAAAAACCCGCTCGAGGATGTGGTTTCAGCCCGCGCAGGGGTGTTGCAGCCCTTGGAGGAGGGTTTGCAGCCTTTGTGGCGGTGTTGCAGATCATTTTAGTTCATGCAGGGGGGGGTTGCAGTCTGTGCAGGGGTGTTTTAGCCTGTGCAGGGGGTCATTACAGCCCATGCAGGGGTGCTTTGGTCCGTGCAAGGGTGTTTCAGCTCGGGCAGGGGAGCTTCAGGCTATGCAGGAGTGTTGTAACTTGTGCAGGGGTGTTATAACCATTGACAGGGGTGTTACAGCCCATAGCAGGGGTGTTGCATCCTGTTCGGGGGTGTTCTAGCCTAGGCAGGGGTAATTCAACCCATGCAAGGGTGTTTTAGCCCATGCAGGGGTGTTACAGCTCGTGGCAGGGGTATTTCCACTCTTGTATGGGTTTTACAGCCCTTGAAAGGCTGCTGCAGCTCTTGGAGGGGTGTTTCAGCTTTGGTGGGGTGTTTCAGCCCTTGCAGAGGTGTTTCAGCCCACATAAAACCCTTGCCCTCTGCCTGACACCCTCCCTGGTGCCCACAGGTGCCTCTTCCCCTCCCCGAGGTGACATGGAGCAGCTGAAGTGACCCGAGGAGCCCTCACAGTGAGTGGAGCCCCCGTGGAGCCCCCCCGGGTGCCAGGGGGGGACGTGGGGACCCCCGGGCAGCACAGCCTGTGGCACCCCGGTGTCCCCATGTCACCCAGTGCACTGTGCCAGGGGTGGCAGGACCCTGCTGCTCCTGGGGCCGGCAGGGTGCACCCCGGTGCCCCTAATCCCGTGTCACAGCCCCCTCTGTCCTGCAGGCGGTGCCCAGGATGGGCTGCGTGCCCTGCAAGGAGAAAAGGGCCGGCAAAGGGCAGGCGGGGGGCGAGGGGGGCTCCCCCCCGCCTCCCCCCTCCCAGTATGACCCAGACCCCACCCAGACCGGAGCCAGCTTCACCTGCATCCCCGACTTCAACAACTTCCAGGGCCCAGCAGTGCCCTTGGCCCCGTCCTTGGCGGGGCCGGGCGTGTTCACCTCCAACACTCTGCAGATGAGGAGCGGGGGCATCGCAGGTCAGCGGCGGGGCTGGGTGATGGGGAGGGGGTCTAGCCGCTTCCTGGGGAGTGCAGGGGACCCAGGAGCTCACCGTGGTCCCCTCTGCGTGCTGCAGGTGGGGGGGTGACACTCTTCATCGCCCTGTACGACTATGAGGCCCGGACGGAGGATGACCTGACCTTCCAGAAAGGGGAGAAATTCCACATCATCAACAACACGTGAGCCCTCCCGGCTCCCCTGCCACTCACAGTGTCCCCCTGCCACCCCAGGGATGGGCCACCACGCCATGGGTACCCCCTGCAGGAGCCAGGCTGGGGACACGAGCTCTGCCTCGGTTCTGTTGTTGGGTACCAGGGCCACGTGTGTCACGAGCTGGGTGGGCTCAGCAGAGATGGGTGCGGGGTCTGGGGGCGCTGTGTGAAGGGTGAGGGGGTGCAGGATGGCCAGGTCTGTCTGTCTGTCCCTCCTCCCCCTCCTCCTCCTCCTCCTCACTCTCTGCTCCTCTGCCCCAGGGAGGGGGACTGGTGGGAGGCCAGGTCGCTGAGCTCGGGCGCCACGGGCTACATCCCCAGCAACTACGTGGCCCCTGTGGATTCCATCCAGGCAGAGGAGTGAGTAGGGGGGACGGCGTCCTGGTGAGCCCCGGCAGCGCCGCGGTGCCGGTGGGGTTTCCCCCAGGTGCCCCCCGGGTGGTTCTGAGCCCGTCCCCGCGGCAGGTGGTACTTCGGGAAGATCGGGCGCAAGGACGCGGAGCGGCAGCTCCTGTGCCACGGCAACTGCAGGGGCACCTTCCTCATCCGGGAGAGCGAGACCACCAAAGGTACGGGCGCAGGGGCGGGATGGGGACACCGGGGGGGGTGGACCTGCATCCCTCCCTGACCTGTGCCCCCCGCACAGGGGCCTATTCGCTCTCCATCCGGGACTGGGACGAGGCCAAGGGCGAGCACGTGAAGCACTATAAGATTCGGAAGCTGGACAGCGGGGGGTACTACATCACCACCCGTGCCCAGTTCGACACCGTCCAGCAGCTGGTCCAGCACTATATAGGTAGGGTGGGACAGGGGGTACGGGGTGGGGGGGAGGTGGGAGGGGTAGGGAAAGCCCGGGAGAGCCTTTGGTAAGAGGCTGGCTGGGCCAGCCGGGTGGAGCTGGGGAAGGAGGGGCCTGTTGTGGTGGTGGCATTGGGGGATTCCCTGAGAGTCTCCCCCTTTTTCCATGGGTGGGCATCACCCACTCCTTGGGCACGGCTGGGGGGGTTTGGAGTTCGCAGGGGGAGGCAAAAGGGGGTGCACCCCGTTTTCATACGTGGACTCTGGGGCGTGACTGGATGATGTAGGATCCTGGGAGATGGCTGGGGTGGTGGAGGGTGGGCAGGGGGTCGGTGGGGGTCTGTGCCCTCACTGACCCCCTGCCCTGCTGCCGCAGAGCGGGTGGCCGGGCTGTGCTGCCGCCTGGCCATGCCGTGCCACAAGGGCACCCCAAAACTGGCCGACCTGTCGGTCAAAACCAAAGACGTGTGGGAGATCCCCCGGGAGTCCCTCCAGCTCCTCAAGAAGCTGGGGAACGGGCAGTTCGGGGAAGTCTGGATGGGTAGGGCCTGGTGGGCAAGCCAGGGCGAGCGGCAGAGGGGACATGGGGGTACCCCCAGGCCTGGCACCTACCTTGGAAAAGCTCCTGCCTGCTGGGACAGGCTGAGCCAGAGGGATTTTCCAGCAAGGGGAAATATCCCATATCCTCTGAGATCATAATGGGTATCCCAAGATGCCCTCCCCTCCCTTTTCAGATGGGACCACAAGACCAGGCTTGGGGGGGGTCCCACCTTCGTCCTCCTCTTGCTGCGGTGCCCTGTGCTCTCCCCGCTCGGCGTGCATGCTCCATTCATCCCATCCTCCATTCCATCCCCCCATCCTCCCCATCCCCATGCTCCATTCATCCCATTGCACCCCCTCCCTCCTCCTCCTCCTCCTCCTCCTCCCCTGCCTGCCCCCCTCGCCCCCCTGCAGAGTATAACGACGGGTTGTGCCATCTGCTCACCCGCCCGTGCCCCGCTATGAAGCCCCAGACCCTGGGATTAGCTAAGGACGCCTGGGAGATAGAGCGGGAATCCATCACCCTCGACAAGAAACTCGGCATGGGCTGTTTTGGAGACGTGTGGATGGGT